AAGCCAAGGAATGAGCTTTTCCACATGGAAGGGAGTCTAGGGGTGGTTGAGCCACTAATCAGGCTTGAAAAGTAGGTAGGTCACAGTGTCATAGAATGTCATACAGACGTGAGAGCACAGAGAAACAGAAAGGTGACGCGGCCAAAGGAAATGGGTAGAATTGGTCCGTGGACCGTCTCTGCCGCTTTTCTCTCACCCTTCTCGTAGGCAACCGCTTTTGGCGACTGGCTACCTGGCTGCGAAATTGGGGCATTCTACGTTTCATCTTATGGCGAGTCTTTATTTCGGGACACGGACAAGACAATCATATTCCGGCTCACTCGTCGCGCGACCTATTCTGCGGCGGTGGCAAGTTCTGGATATCTATCTGCTTGTCGATTGAGTGGCGGAACTCATTTGAATTTGGGCGAAAACAAGTATTTGTGATGGGTGACATCGAAATTCCCCGTTTCTGTAATACTCAACTTCGAACGGCCCCGAAGGAAAACTCGTCCGTAAGCGCGTCGCCGTTCGCCACGCTCACTAGCGCGGCAACCTACGATTGTCTTGTCACCTACCTTTTTAACCTTGCGTTTACTACAGAAGAGATGGCTCGACTACAAGCCGAGGGTAAAGTACCGAAAAGCGTGGATATTTCACAAGGAGCACCCACAATGCACAGATTGATGGTCGCAGATAATGAGTTTATTGTTGTAAGTTTCTTGGCCTGTTCAGGCGATAGAGCATTCGTTAAGGGCAGTGGGCACGATGGCCGGGGCGGGCGGCTGCGGCCAATGTCATTGGTGGAAGCGCGGATTGATTCGTGGACAAACGCCCTCCCGCGTCCCTTGCGCCAATAACATTGACAACAACCGCCCGCCCCATTCATCGTGCCCACTTCCTCTAAAAGAAGGTCAAGGAAATGTATAGTACCGCAGGTAATGTTGGACCCTCCTCCATGCGGATGCGTTCGCTTGAAGAGTGGAAAGAAAAAACGCTGCAAAAGGCACAGACAAGAGCGAAGAGCGAGGATGAAGGAGAACAAGAAAGAAGAGAAGAAGAAGAAAAAGATGGTGAAGGACGATGAAAGCGACAGGAAGTGAGTAGCTCAATTTTTTTGAGTAGAAATTTCTCGAAGGACTTCAAGTTTCAGGAAAGCGGTGGAACTTCGTCACGCGGCTGATTCTGAAGTCGACGAAGACAAAGCTATTGAGGGAGCAATCACACCAGACAAAGTTGCCGTTGTCGTAAGTTGGTTGAACCTTCGTTCTGGCCTGGCTGTAACTTCATACCACGACTCTGCTCAGGGACCTGCTGGTGTGGCTGTGCTAGTGGACATTGACAGAGTGGAAGGAGAAGAAGTTGGTCCACGAAAGACAGTCGACGAACCGATCAGAGGGATACTTGTCAAAGGAGCTCATGGTAGAACGGCTAGCAGCTGGCACCACCTTCCACGCAAAATCCCAGTAATTTTCAGAAACACCACAATTTATCCCCGAAGATAAGATAGAGAAGGGTCGAGATGGCCAACCAAAGTTCAGAAACCACACCAAGGGCACACTTGTGAGAGGTGCTCATGGAGAATCGATCTTCTACGCAGACAAACAATGCCAGGTCGGTTGAGCAGGACAACTTTCCAGGCTAGCGCTCAATTTAGTTCAGCTCAATTCCAGCCAGACTCCAAGGGTAATCCACAGAATGTGACCAGTCAAAGGAGTGGAGAAGGACCTGCAAAGCAAGATTGGGGAGATTGGTAACCGCTTCGACCAGGTTCTGTAGAATCACTACTTCCTGAGGACGTGTATTGCAGTCTGCCCACCATGCGAGGTGGAGGTGAACGAGAATGGCATGCCAGTGTTGGTGCAGATCGTCAATGCTCAGACCGTTCCTAAGGTATTGAATTGCAGAATTTCATCAGGATTGCAAAGATACTCATTCATTGTGGGTGCAGTCGTTTTCCTCGCAAGCGCAGGGTGGGTTAGGGGGCTGGGTTTATCGCATTTATCTTGCCCTTCTCCACCAATTGTTGAAGCGAGAAAGCGAGAGCAGTTGAAGGAACTGCTTGGCGCAGCGCCGGAACCCACCTCCTGAGACGCCCCGGAATCTGCAGAGAAATGACTACACACGGGGTGGGTAAGAGTTCACGACCATCAGACGTAGCCAATCTGTAATCGCAACTACGTACCCGAGCCATTTCACCTACACACGATGAAGATCTCTGTAAGCGTCCGCCCTCACGGTCAGCAGCTTGACCATGCTTATCAGTGGTAAAGTGGTGGGTCGCACCATTCGGTCAAGTGCCAACTCTATAGCGCATCATAAGTTGATGATCCAGGAGGCCTGAATCATGAAAAACCTTCTTATTTTGGAAATGGGAGGCGTGATTCACGTGACTGGAATAGAAAGTATGGCAATACATCCTCCATATGCGGACTGTCGCGAGGGCGGCTGTGCAACGGCGCGTCAAAATGGTGCGTTTGGCCTCATTGCGTCTACCAATGGCGGTCGGGTAAAACGGTTAAGGGGAGGAGCACCAAGATGGAAACGCACAGGGGGCGAGCCGCTGATAGCGACCCGACCGTTGCGGTGATGTAAAGTGTACGCATTATGTAGCCACCGTCACCTTTTCGTACGGGACTGCCTATATTTTTGGACAATTGTCAGAAGTCTGTCTCTGCCTAACAAAGACATGAGTGCAATTGTCTTAAAACGGCAACGTCTCACAGATGCGCAGACTCTGCCACGTTTAAATGAAGTACTGTCCTCATCATTACGGACTGTCGGGGCGTGTCAGCCAGTATGAGTGTGCACACTGTTGAAGCCGTTCTCAGCCTTCTTTTGGTTTGAAACGCGTATGCGACAAAAAGTGGTAGAAAACGAGTAATACGAAGGATATAATACAGTAATGTCACTTGCCCGCTTCAACAACTGGTGCAGAACGACTTCGGTACCGCGCCAAACGCAGCCGCACTGACACGCCCGACAGTCCGTAATGATGAGGATTGTACGCACACATTATCCCATCTCCGAGATATGGAGTGTTCCGCGGGGCGATATCTTTGGCGCCTAACTCACTCAACGGCAATTTCGCGTCAAGTCAACGTTAGCTAGAAACACCCTTATACACTTCGGACGCAGCCGCGCCTAGACTGCACTGATAGCACCCTCATTTCCCATTATTTCCCATTTAGTGCGGACGTTCATTTGTCATCTTAAAAGCTAGAGTTCATCAACAATAAGAACGCATTTGTTCAGGTAGCTATACCTACAGTTGAGCCGGAATGTTCCCAGTCTATCACCACCGGAAGTTCTGAACACGCTGTCAGTCGATTTTTTTTTCAGGACAAGCATGCTACAGTTGGTGTGCTCGTGAAGAATCTGGAGGGAGTCGTGGTGTTAGCCCAGACAGGAGGACAAACGGTCGGCGCCCGAGATAGTGAGCTTCTAGCGAATCTTGAAAACTCTGTTGCGTGAACCTACCATCAATCTTCCTTCCTGAGCAACCTGGTCCAAAGGGCCACTTTCCAGATAAGTTTTGTCGCTCGCTGACGAACTCTTTCTGCGCGATGAGGCCAGGCTGTGTCTACTATTAGGAGTAGAGCTGGAGTAGAAAAGCAAAAAAAGAACCATTAGGAAGTAGCGGGGGCGTAAATATATGTCGCAACATCTAACCCTGAATAGGTGAGACTGAGAGGGGGAAGAAAGAGGACGAAAATCCCCTCCCAAAAAGCAAAGCGCCTTTCTTCTTCCGAGGTTACCAAAAGGAATAAAAGCCTATTGAAAAGTGGCAAAATGATCCAGACTGAAGCCACTAATTTGTTCCTCTATGGGGGGGGTATGGGACCGAAGACAAGAATCATGGAGCTATTAACTAAGGCCGACTGCCCCGCATGGGAGAATATGGGTCAAAACTTGAAAGCAGGTGGATTGGGGACTGAAAAGTGCCAGAAAATGCCTCGAGACTAATGTGAGGCAAAATACCACGACGAAAGCGCTTTACCCTACACGACAGCTGGAGCAGGTAACAGAGGTCCTAAGTACACTTTCTGGACATATTCACGGCGAACCTTACACATCTTATTCCCCATCCGCCTAGCCTACAAAGGTGACTTTGATTACGTCCTCCCCCTCAGGTTACTCGAGGAAAATTCAGTGGAATTTCCCACCCAGGTTGAGAACTTTATGAAGGCGTTCACTATCCCACTTCACAGCTGTGCAGTTCAACAGTTATGAGGCGAATCTCGACAGGGTTTGTCGACATCTCTGAGCCCCTATATAATTTTTCAGACGCCGAATGTGTTCCGACTACACCGAACGACAATGTAGCTCCAGGAAGTGTAATAGGTAAAGTGATGGAAGAAAAGCAGACAGGAAAACAGACAGTGGTACACGCCACTCAAGTGCCAGGCGCCAATCAGAAGGCCGTCGGTACTGTCATACAGGTACCTTCATCTTTTAAAGAGAACAATCCGCACAGTTTAGCTTAGGAGGGGGGGGATAGGGAGGGGCGCTTTGCCATTTCGTTGGTTTCTTTTGGTAGTTCTGAATTACACGACTCACCTTGGTGAGACCTGCAAGCTCGTGTCAACTGTAAAACAAGTTCCCTCCTCAGTATCACTCCACAAGAATGCTTAGGTCTTCACAAAAAGCATCAGCAGTGATCGATGGGAACCAGCAAAATGCCCCCACTAATTCAAACTGAGCCGTGTACTCAATGAATCATCGGTATATCGTGATAATGACACTAACTTTCGTTGCAGGGTAATTACTTGGAACCTGTGTTTGTTAAAGAAGTGTGGGTTACGACAGTACTTCCTTCCGAAGCTGTTGCAGCGGTTGCTAAGTGAGTCAGTTGAACGATCGCAATACTAGTCCGTACGGTTGAATCCAATGTACGTCCACCACCCACTCAATAAAAAAACCTTGAAAATCTACCAAGAAAACTATTTGTCAAATAATAATAAAATTGTCAAAAATAAAAACAAAATTGCCGTGCCGCAAAAGGGATGGGGGGAGTGAGATCGGATAAACTTTTGCATCCTTTCAACAGTCAGATTATCACATGGAATCATACCATGAATCAAGTGTAAGTCAAAGAGTAGTACTAGCTGAAATCTTGAGTGTAGTTGAATTTTGGGGCTTGTTTCACGTTTGCTAGGTGATAGGAGCGGTGGACATGCCATTTTTATGATGTACAGGGGGCAGCGGAATATGAAGAAGAAGGAAAAAGGAGCTAAATTAGGCAATCTAGGAGGTTCCTATGGAGGAACTAGCCGTAGAGTGAGTAGGCTTCAAATGGAGAGTTGACGCTCTCGCGCGATGGTTTGCCTGTAAATGTAGATGTCAGCCACACCTCAAATCACTGATATCTCTTGCATGCCACCTCTCCTGTTTCCCTCTTCACCTTCTGCCTTTTCCGTCCCGGTCTCGACTGTGGTGCAGTCTGGTAAAAATTAGAAGACTACAGGACCGAGGACCTCACTTCAAAGCCATCTGGCGACTCTTTCACCTTCCTTTCCTCACGGGTGGCCGTAGGGGAGTTGGGGTGTTACCAGGACGGCTGCTCGATGGGGAATAGCGACGCGCGGTCATTCTTGTGCGGTAAGCACTCCTGAGAATTCTGTGCCCATAGAAGCCACGGGGCAATTGAGGAGGGGATTTCCTGCTCAAAAAAAGGCATGTTCATAATACAATTTATATCGTCGCAATCCAGCGAGATGGTGTCAGGAGAAGTGAAATAAGCTGTCCACGGCTATGTTGGCTACTAGTAGTAGCCGCATTTGGGTAGAAAACAACTAGTAGCAGATAACTCCGCCGGCCTGGTGACATCACCGCCGGATTGTGACACTGTTAGAGGGCGCTATATGCGCACTGCCTTTATATTCCCGTTGGCTTTTAGGCGTCTAACCCAATATGACGAAACCATAGGATGACATTTCAGGGCTGAAAAAATTGACAAACAGTACCAGCCTCAGATCGAAAAGGCCAACGATTTGGTCCAAGCACAGATTCAAGGAAAGACTACTGCTCAAATCCAGAAGGTATGGTTGTCAATAGTCCGAAGAGTACACATTATTGGAGCACTATGTTGGTTCGCGTTGGCACGGGAAAGAACCGAGATGAAGGGTGCCACACCGCTTGCTCCAGGAGAGGTTTATTCGACCTCACTATGTGCTAAAGGAGAAAGAGGAAGCTATTTCGCTTTTGCTCAGCCTGTGAGTTCGAAGAATCGAGGCATTACTAGCCTTCAAGGCGTTCAAAAAGGACTCCTTGTGCAAAACCAGCCGCCCTCCACAGTGATATAAGAACTTCTGCCTGAACCTGAAGAGAGATGAGCCTCTGGGTTGATGGGGCGAAAGATTTAGAGGACAATTTTTGGACGCATTGCTCCCCTTTTCCACCAGGGGTTCTCTCAAAGCCTCATGGCTATTGGCACCAATT